AATAATAACAGTGAAGCTAGTGTTGCTGGAGGAATGCAAACCCCACATGCACCTCACACCCAAAGAGCAGCAGATAGCACGCACACTCACTCTAGACCAGACTGGGAGCAGGGAAAGAATGGGTCCTTGGTGAGGGCCACGCAGCACCACCTGACCCTTCACATCCTGCTGCAGGACCAGTGCATGTATGTGGTGTCAAATGAGCTGGATCTGGGTTCCTGGCCACACCAAGTGGCCCTTCTGTTGACACTGGGCCGAGGGCATTAGCCACAGAGGGTATCCACTGATTATCACTATTAGAACAGAAAGAAGAAGTCATGCAGATATCTGCTGCCCCAGGAGTACAGCCTCACATGAGCAGCACCTCCACAGGCTCAGTCCAGAAACTTCCCATTGGCATTTGCACCAAACAAGGCTCCCCAGACTTCTGGCATCATCTGCTGGGTTATGAGGTCCAGCCGGCTTTCCAGAGTGTTGGAAACCTTTATCTTGTGATCCCCGTTAAAGATTTCAGCTCCACCAGCTATCTCCTCAGGCAGGTAAGCCTCCTGCTCAGTTTGAACATCACCCTCTTTTTTTGGTTGGCAATTGTATACATAGGAATTGCTTTTTGTACTGTGGCTGTCACGAAAAGGAAATCTTGTTTTCTGCGGCACACAATCATTTGAGGCTCTCTGCCGGTACAAGCCCTGGAGGACCAACCCCATCCAGCAGTTCCTGGTTGTATCTTTTATCACCATTGCCTCATTGAGAAGATTGGTGATGAGGTCACCTCTTTCTCTGAGGACCTTGAGCTCAGTCTGCTTTTCTTTCTTCTCATGGTATTTCATAGTCTTTGGTCTTTGGTTTTTGCACAAGACAACTTTTCTCAATGTTTAACTCTTCTTCTGCCCTTGCATCAATTTCTTCTGCTTTCTCATTGGATTCTTGTTCGATGAACCCATCTTGTACATAATCTGCTTCTGTACAACTGTTGAGCACCACGCTGAAGGCAAAGTTTGGCTAGGGAACCACCTCAAGTCTGGACCACCTCAAATTGCTGCAGCTGAGCAAACTGGAGAGGAAAACCTAGAGCAGGACTCAGTTTCCTTTACTTTATAACCTGCCTTCTGGTTTCTGCCTTGTCTCACACATTCTAAGCAAGTGTTCTACCTCCAAGCCATGTCCTTGCCCCTGGGCTTTTATTTTCCAAGAATGTCTGTGGGACGAAGGAAAACACTGAAACACACTGGAGTGAGCTCTTCCAGACAATGTTCCCTAGCACAGTGGTTCCTGCAGTGATGTTTCAGGTGAAATCAGAACTTGGGCTCTCCGTGTACCACCCATGACACGGTGTTTTTAAATGTTTGGAATTACTGGGGATGCTGCTTGCAAAGCACTTTGCTTCTATTTTTAATTTTTATTTCTTTTGCTTTTATCTTCTTTTGTTTTTAGTTTTAGGGTTTTCTGCTTTGAAACATAGTTGCACTCTGTTGCTCTAGCTGGCCAAGAATCACTGTGGCTCAGGCTGGCTTCAGACTCCCAGCAGTTCTCATTTTCCCCCAGTCAGGAGTCACTTTGCCTGGCATTTTATGTCATATTTTACCTCCTGTCTTTGCTTCCAAATGCAGCTAAGAGCTTCACCAGAGGCAAGTAGGTTTATCCCCTATAAGTTTATTGAAAATTACTTGTATCGATATATCTTAAATAAGATATCAAAAGAGCAACAGAAGTTTGGCATGAATGCATTCATCATGTCCACCCACAACCTTGTTACCGTGACATTTTCTTATTGATAATTTAGAACTTCCCCTCATGTTCATGCTCCAAATGCAAATCAGAAACGTTTTCTAGCCATATGATTGATGTTACCAATTTTATTGTATAGGTAGAATCCCACAATATGAAAATGAATGTAGCAGGTACATGGCTTCAAGAACCTGAATCTCATAGGCCTGGAGAGATGGCTCAGGTGGTAAAGTGCCTGCCTTGTGAGCATGAGGACCTGAGTTCAATCCCCAGAACCTATCATTTTTTTGTTTAAAAAAAAAAAAAAAGCTGAATATGATAGGATTGTAATACCAGCCCTGGGGAAATGGAGGTCCCTGGTAGATCCCTGGGACTTACTGGCCAGCTAGCCTAGCCTAATTGCTAAGTTCCAGTCCATGGAAAGTGTTGTCTCAAAAAGAAAAAAAAAGGTATGGTGCTTAAGGGAAGGAGAGGCAAGACTGTTCTCTGACTCCTAAATGGGTCTCATACACACGCACAAACCTCAACATTTCAAGTAATATGAGTTAGCTGCTTGCTTTGAATTCTCTGCAGTGCCTTGGCCAGCTGCCCAGAATGTCAGTGGCTTTCCTACTCAAGGTGAAATGTGTGGCTAGTACCAACACATTCTTGTTTCTAAGGGTTGAGGACTTTGAAATGGGTTTTGTTCTTTTAGTGATTCCTCCCTCCCACAGTCAATGGTGCCAGGGAACAGAGACAAACTGAGTCCATCCTTGGAGAGATATGGCTTTGCAGGGCAATGGTCTCTGTTGTCTGCCTTGTACATCTTAGCCCAGGGCATGGACCCAGCCTTTGCTGGTATCTCGGTAAGCAGCTGCCATAGATTCTGACAGCTTTCTTCTCTGTGACTCCTCCATCTGAGTCTGTCACCATTGGGCACCGCTGCAATGACAGTGAGTTTGTGCTGTCAGTCTAGCACGAATTCCCTGTGCCTCTGTGCCATTTGACACCTGAGTTGTCAGGTTGGCAGGTTGGCAGGACCAGGCTGGATGGCTAGCCCTCTTGCTTATGAGCCCTGGGATCCTTGAAGTGGTCCAGGGACTGTACCCAGCAGCTTGACTCTGCTCCTAACATCCGGGTCAGGCTGTGCGGGTGGGTAATAAACTTTTCCTCAGGCCCTAGAGAGCCCCTGTAGATGCAGTCACTAAGCACCATCTGTGCCAGCGTATCCACTCCTAAATCAAAAGGACATTTACTGTGGCTTAAGTGGCTCCCTTTGTCACTTCCCACACAGAGGACTCTGAGCAGCATCCTCTTAGCAGTAAGTCAGGAAGCACCCATCTATGCACCTGGCTGCTCCAAGGGCTGTTTCTCAAGGTGGTGACTACCCTGCTTTACCAGTCTGCGAACCTTGTTGCAGTGATGGCAAACATAGCAAAGACAAGACAGGCATGCAAATGTATTTCTTCTTCTCTGTTAAAAAAAAATTCTGCTAAAAGATTTGATGGAATTTAGGACTGAAATGCAAAATGAGATTTAGGCCGATCCGTAGGCTGCATTTCTCCCTCATGGTCACTCAATAGGAGTTTGTACAGCTTCCTATTCTTTTTAACGTATGAATATATGTGTGTATGCATGCGCACGTCTGTGTGTGCGTGTGTGTGTGTGTGTGTGTGTGTGTGTGTATGGGTGGCTGCATGTACACTTGTCTGTACCTTTTTGTGTGGAGACAACAGCATTACCTGTCATTTCTCAGCCACTGTCCACCCTGATTTATCTGAGGCAGTGTCTCTCACTGCCCTAGAAATCACCAAGTAGGCAAGGTTGATCCTCCAGCACACCCCAAGTATCCTTTCTCTACTTCCCCAGCACTGCAATCACAAGTGTGCCTCCATAATTTTTGTGTGGGCCCTGGGAGTCATACTCTGGCCCTCCTGCTTGCAAGACAAGCTTTTTAACTGAGTTATCTTTCCACCCTACACCTTCCTATTCTTGCTCAGGGAGACATTTATCTTCAAACAAATGAAAGGATAAATTTCTATGGTGGATTTTTTGGACTTTTTTTTTCCAGACTGAAGAAGTTCTCACTTTAATAAAACAGAATAATCTAACAGAAAGTTCCAGAGCAAGGGTCAAATTGGCCTGCTTTTCCATGTCTGACTATGACTTGGGAAAAACCACTTCTCTGAAGCTCAGTTTCCTGCCTGTGTGCTCTAAGCTCAGGTGCAGCTGTCACACAATGTCGGTTGAGAAGATGTGAGCAGGGGACACTTAGGAACTGCTGGCACAAGCCCCAGCTGACAGCAGCACTTAGTGAGATTAGGCCCCTTCAGAGCAGAAGTGGGTGAGGAGGCCACTTTCTGGATGGATTGCTTTGGCCAGTGGGCTCAACCTCTCAGTGCCCTTGTGTCTTCCCCTATAATTTAGGGATAATGAATGTTATGATAATACTGTTTCCCCCAAGGGCGTTAGGGTAAGTAAGCTATCTGAATCCCATAGAACACACAATTCTAGCTATAGCCAGGACTTTATCAATGATTCCATTTTCACCTTTTCTGCATTTGCAATTGTTCTGGAACTTGTGTACTAAAGATGCCTCAAGCATATGTTTAAAGTGGAAAGAAGATTTCACTTGTCAGCAAGATTGATGGTCTCATGCTTATTTACCCACATGGAGTGCCAACTGCACCAGATGCTGTGGGTCACAGACACCAGGTGAATACCTGACCCTGAGCTGTGGCTGCAAGGCCAGGAACATGGGTGTCAGGGCTGGAAGCAGTGGCATCTGATGGCCTAGTGGCTCAGTGATGAAGTGGGGTGAGCGTGCCGATAGACAAATCATCACAAATCAGGGGAAACAAGCAGTCCCGAGCAATCCCTGCGCTCACCTGTGCTGTATGCTCCATGAAGGCACAGGAAGGGCTGTCCACCCTTGTCCCCATGGCACCTCACAAAACCCCACGGGAGCCAGAGCTATGGTACTTAGAATATTTATTAATCAGTTGATGGATGATTATTTCTACACACACACACACACACACATCTTTTTTTTTTAGTTAGAAAAGCTAACAAATGGGCCATTTGTTATTATCTATTTAAGTATCTTTGGAACTTGGGGTTGAACTTGAACTCAGGACATTGTGCAGGCTGAGCATAGGTTCTACCACTGATAGTTCAGGGTCCTTAGCTCCCCTACTCAGTTTTTAGATCAGAAAATGAAAAGTCCAAGTAACTGTCTTTGGTCTCAGGCATTTAAATACTCAGAATTATGAACCTATTTTATCTGTCCACAGCTCCTGAAGTTCTTGCCCAGAAACCATACAGCAAAGCTGTTGACTGCTGGTCCATCGGGGTGATTGCCTATATCTTGTAAGTATTGCTTGCCACCGTGGCTCCCCTCTCCTCTTATTTGACTGTGGCGAAATGTGTGTAATGTGGATTTTTATCATTCTGGAGCACCAAGTTCGTCCTCAGCAGTACCACCACTGTCCACTTCCAGAATGTTTTCACCATCCCACCCTGAGACTGTTCTAACAAACAGCTGCTTCTTGTGCCCCTCCTCAGCCCCTGGTTGCCTCCATTCTCCTCTCTGTCTTTGTGAACCTGACTGCTCTTGGGGCCTCATAGAAATGGGATCATATGGCAATGCTTCTTTTTGATCAGTTTATTTCATTTTATGATGTTCTCAGAGTTTATCCATGTTGAAGCATGTGTCAGAATTTTCTTCCTTTCAGGGCTGATGCCCAGTTGTCTGCACCACCCTGAGTTCATCTTCTCACCCCTTTGTGGACTACTGAGATTTTCTGCTGCCCTTAGGCTTTTGTGCATAATGCTGCTATGGCCATGAATGTACAACTATGCACATTGTTCAAACCCTTGCTTTCAATTTTGAGGAATGCATGTTTCTAGAAATGGAATTGGTATTTATCTCATATGATAATTCTTTGTCTTGCTTTTGAGAAGCCACTGGCAGAGTATGCAACCACAGACCACTTTAGGGATACATTCCCAGCAGCCGTGTTCAATATTCACACCAGTGTTAACCCCTTTTTAAAAAACAAAAGGACATATTCAGGCATGGAGGCACTCACCTTTAATCCAGCACTTGGAAGGCAGAAGCAGGCTGATCTCTGTGAGTCTGAAGCCAGTGCAATTTATGTGATGAGCTTCAAGGCAGCCATGGCTATGTAGCAAGACCCTGTCCCCAAAACAACAACTAATTAATTAATTAACAAAACAATCCTGTCCTAATAGGTGAGATCTATTTTGATTTCTATTTTCATTTCCCTATTAACTAGTAACAGAGAATGCTCTCATGAGCCATCATAGCTTTGGAAGGGAGGGTAGGTTAAAAAATACTGTGAAAATACCAGCACAACTCCAAAAGAAATAACAATTAGGAAAAAAATGAATGGAAATCAAAACACATGGTTTGAATTCCTCATTTCCTGTTAGAGGTTTTATCTCCTTGATCCAGGAAATGTCTTCTAGAGGATGCCCTCCTTGAAGCCATTTCAGAATCACTCAGTTGGTTCCTTATCATTAGGTTTTGTTTTGCTTAAGTCTACTCTAAAGCCATTTCTAATTGCAGTTGTATTTGCAAATATTTATTATGTGATAGGCTTTTATAGCAGGTTTAGTTTCTATAATTGCTAGGAAATGAAGTTCCTCTCCTAATCACCCCCCCCCCAAAGAAGAAGCTGTGATGGGAGAAGCTTCCTGCAGTATCCTCTTCCCTAGAATCTGCAAACACCCTTTCCCTTGTGTTCACTTAGCCTTGTTATCTAAGAAGCAAGTGATCTTTCTCCAGCAACATTCAACTGGGTAGTTTGTGCAATCAAGTGTGGATTTTGGTGACAGCTCCTATGGGTTTGTACCATTGCAAAAGGGGGGTTTGGCCCGCTGTAATACACCCCATAGGGTTCTCATTTATGGATATATGAGAGTGCTAAGACTAAGATATCACACTTACATATGTCTTCATGTTCTAAGCATGTCGAACATTGCCATGCTTTAAATGGAAAATGTTCCCTACAGACTCCTAGGTTCCCAGTTGCTGGTGCTATTTTAGGACATCCTGGAGGCTCTAGGAGGTGGGACTTAGCTGGGGGTTGTAATTTGCTGGAAGCAAATCCTTAATAACTCTGTCTCGCCCTTGCCCCATTTCTGTCTCCCTCTCTCTCTACCCAACTGTGATGAACTGTGGAGTAAAATTATCCATCCCTCCCTTTAAGTTGTGTCTGTCAGGTATATTGGTCACAGATAGATGAAGGTAACTAATGCTGCATCTTCTGCAGTTGCTTCTTACTTTTGGGGAGGAATGGGGAATAGACCTTTTTGAGAATCTAAAAACAGTTGTGAAATTAGCCCCCTAATAAAAGTACACACATACAATTAGTCATGGTCCTGGGTAAGCAGAATTATTAACAAGGATCCTGTTACCTAGCTCCATAAATCCCCAAGTACAATCCTCCTTAGAGGTCCTGACTCTCCTAGCTTGGCTAGAAATCTTAAAAAAGTAAATAAAAGGCTAGACCTTTCCTGCCAACAGTTGAAGCTGATCTTGATGGTCTGGAAGGGTCTTCCTTGGAACTGTACTCAACCTTAGGTTTGTGGGTATCAGTTTTTTTCCTTGACATCTTGGCATAGAGAAGGGTAGCGGTTGCTGAGGATGAATGTTGATTAGCATTTCTTAGAATTATTGGGTAAGAAGCTAGAGAGATGGCTCAGCAGTCAAGAGCACTTGCTGCTCTTGCAGAGGACTGGAGTTGGGCTCGCAGAACACATGAAGGGCAGCTTACAACAGCTTCTAACTCCAGCTTCAGGAGACCTGATGCCCTCTGGCCTCTGTGGCACCCCCAGCACACACACACACACACACACACACACACACACACACACACACACACACACGATAAAAGTACAATAAATCTTTAGAGTTACTGAGTAAGCAACTATAACTAAGTAAGAATGCCTCATGCTCTAGCAGAGTAAACAATGACCATAACAATGCCTGTAATTCTGTAGGCTGCAAAGGCCAGGAGAATTCTCAGTGAGCCTCTGATTCTTGCTTATAGATTGCTCCCTTTCTTGCTATGTCTTCCCATAGCAATGAGAGAAGATAGAAGCAAGCTCTCTGATATACTTTTGAAACTAGCCATTGGCAAAGAAAATGGCATAACCTTGCTTGACAAGTTAACCAAGTGACATTGTAGAAGAGGAAAAATCCCCAAGTAAAATCACAGTGCTGCTAGAGAAGGCTAGAAGGAGTTGACTAGCAAAAGACACTTAGCTGCTTTTGCCCTGAGTCACAGTTAGGAACATATTAAGATATATTAACATGGTTAGCAATGCCATGTGGAGCTTCAAAGAGTTCCTAGGTGCAGATATGGCATGTATATCTTGGTATGCCTGAACAGTATGTATCTAGGCACTTATAGTTATGGTACACAATGCAGTATTTCAAATTGGTCTTAAAGGAAGACATACACTATTTCTTTATTTCTACTTGGTTTTCTCTTTGTACCACTAGCTCTCCCCAGAAAATACACTCAGGTTGATTTCATGACTGTGCCAGATTCCAAGATGGTGAGCAAGGATTCTCTTTTTCTTGGTGATGGTCAGAGCTCTACCAAGCCCAAACAGAGAATGAATTAACTTTGGGAATTTAGTTACATCCTATAAGGTGTTCAGATGCCAGCTGGATATTGGTAGCACATGCCTGTAATTTCTGAGTTTTGGGGGCAGAAGCGGGAGAATTTAGAGTTCTATACATGTACACAACACACAAAAACACATAAACAAAATATGTGGTTTTCAATCTCACACTTTTGCAAATTCGACTTGGTTGATCTGCCATGTACAGCCTTGCATCCATACACTATCTGTAAAGAGTGCACATCTGGGACCAATAAACAGCTCCGCAGAGAAACCAGCTTTCCCAAGGAGATTGCACCAAAACCCTTATTCTTCCCCATTCAAGTGGAAAAGAAGCTAGCCATACTATTTTCAATTGATCGGCCTGTCACCCTGAGATATTAGACTACAGCAAAAATGGCTGAGACAGACCACAGCACCGTGTTGTCGTCTCTCTGCACTATGCAAACATCAGTCATTTTGCCAGGGCAGGTGCATGTTAAATTGCCCCTCTCTATGCCTCCTTGCTCGCTTCTCTGTTATCCATCATGTGGAAGGAAACATTGTTTTTCTGTCAAGGCTAATCATTGCTTCTAACCACACTTGAGAGGTCCTGATCCTGCCAGTGACCTTGCTCTAGTGCTAAGGATTTACAAGAAGCACCTTTGCCTACAGAGCTTAAGCTGCTGAGAAAGATAAGATAGTGTCTGCTGGTGTCCAGTGTGGTGGGGTTCACCTGGCCAAGATAGTACAGATGCCCAGGAAATAAATTTCCTATCTCAAGACATGAGTGAACCTTTCATGGACCAATCTTTCACTTCAAGAAGATGAATAATTATTTCTCTAAACGATGCTCAAAGATGCATCTTGCTCCTGCAAAGATTATTCCGGCTTCCTGCTGAGATGGAAACGGATGTCTTAGGGACATTCACACTTCCAAACTGAAGAATTCAGGTAGATCAGAAGCAATGAGAGCTGGATAGGCTCACTTGCCCATGACCTCTCACCTGCCTGTCTGCTTAGAAGAAGCCATGGGCAAAAATACAGCAACCCCCTTCCTTTTTCTCTGGCCTGAGTGGTGCAGGCCTGTAATTCCAACTACCAGGGAGATTGGGACAGGAACATGGTGAAGTTAAGGACTGCAGGGACTGCAAAGTAAGTTCAAGGCCAGGCTGAGTAATTTAACCTGTGTGAAAGGGGCTAAGGCTCGCTCACTGTTAGAGCACTTGTCTAGTTCGTTTGAGGACTCTAGTTTGGTCCCCAGTACAAAAGAAGGAAGGGAAGACAGACAGGCAGGGGAGAAAAAGGAGTGGGGGGAGAAAAGGAAGAAAGAAAATTTACCTCCAAGGAAGAGCACCAGAGACTCACAGCCCCATGTGCATAGAATCACAGTTAACAGGCTCAGAATGGACCCTTAAAATTCATCTCGTCTCCCTTAGGTCATAAAATGTGCAAGGCAAAATACAAGCATGTTCTATCCCCAGGAAATGGTACACAAGAAACAATGTAAAGCCAAGAGTTTTCTTTGCATACATGAGTCCAGAACAGTGCAGATAGGTAGCCTAGGCTTTGTTGATAAAAGCCGCGAATCTCCAGGTCACCCTTGTTGGTCTAGAGAAACATGATGGCACCTAGCCCTTGTTCTTACCAGGTCAGAGTGACCTGAGCTGACCAGTTCTTTCCTGCCCTCCTTCCTGTTGCTCTAAAGGCCAAACTGCACTCCCCTTCTGTCA